CACACACACACACACACATGCCACCAGCGGCCTTAGCCTTACTCCTCTTACGTAACATCCCATAGTTTGAGTTATTCCAAGACCAGCAGTACATGACCCTCAGCCCTCCGTTGCTTTTTCAAAACCCTGCTATTAATATTGTCATGCACACTGCCACCAACCGCGACGCAGCGTGAGCGCCGATATGACCGTCAAGCTCTGGGATATCGAGGCCGGCATGAACATCAACACCCTCTCGGCACACGAGCAGCTGATCCAGGACATCGTGTGGGACTACTACGGAAACACGTACGCCACATCTTGCAAGGACAAGAGCCTCAGGATCATCGACGCGAGGTCGCCTCAAGTAGCGCAGGTGTTTGACGAACGTTTTTTTGGAAGATGGGATTTTGAGCATATGTCCACTTTTTTGGTTTTGCTGGTGTGTTGTGAGGAAATGATCGCGCGCTTATAGTTTTTCATGGACGTGCTCCCATGATGTTTGTACTTGTGTAGCAGGTATCATTGGATAGCTATAAACCTATGAGATAGCATGGCCGCGATGAAGGGTCTGACCAATGAAAAGACGGTCGTGTTAGCAGGTACATCCCCCGAAGGGGTCTCCAGCGTCAGTGAAACGTGCGACGCCTGAAAGTACGAAGACATAGCTAGCTTCCTGCAAGCCCTCTTGCGGCTTGCCCAACCGAACCGTGTGGGGCGCGCGTGTTTTGTGTTCAATCAAATCGTGCCATGTACCTGCCATCGGAGTAGCGTACCCATTCGCGTGAGAGTATGCATACCTCGTTGTTGGCGATTTTTCTTCCCTGCGTTCCGTGTTTCATGTCCTTCGTGTATGCTGCTCGTTCATTTCTTCGTTTGTTGTTGGTTTGCAGTCCGTAGCGATGGCTCACGAGGGAGCACGTTCCTCCAAGATCACGTATCTCGGCACCAAGGAGAAGCTAGTCAGCGTGGGGTTCACGAAGCAGAGTCAGCGGCAGTTCAAGGTGTGGGACCCGCGAAACCTGTCCAAGGAGATCAAGAAGATGGAGATCGACCAGGCGGCAGGTGCGTCTGCCTGCTGTTTTGGCTTAAGTTTGGCCGCGGATTGTTGTCCCCTTGTTTGCTGTTGATGCTGCGCCGTTAGTTGCTGCTGTCGTCGTTTGTGGGGCGTGACTGACAGGTCGTCCTCTCGTTGTCTGGGCCGATGCTCTCGGTTCCTAACGCGTTTTTTTTCTTGTTTTTTTATTATTTTCCTGCTGCCTGCTGCCTGGCGCCTGCTTACTGCTGCGCTCGAATCCCATGCGCCGGCAACGCGCGGTGAATACTCGCCGCCCGGCGTGATGCATGATCAGGCGTGATCCTTCCCTTCTACGATGACGAGAGCTCGCTGCTGTACTTGGCGGGCAAGGGAGACGGCAACATTCGGTATTACGAGGTGCGTCCATGCTTACCCTACATGTAGGTCCAGCAACACAACCGAATTGAAGCCGAACGAAAGGGCGGACGTAAGTCGTTGGTACATCGTATTTTGGAGTATAGGGTGGAGAGGAGTATATTGCTGTCGTCTTTGCTGGAAGTGCACCACCGAAACAAGGACTGGGCTCGCACAGAGTACGTACCTCAAGAGCTTGTCAACGTGTGCACAGGGACGAAACGGCTCAGTAGTGTAGCTTGTACTCTGCCGATGGTATGATTGCAAGCCAGAAATGATGGTGTGTGCCAGCCAGGAACTGCGGCCAAAGTTAAGAGTCAACCCACACAGCAACGTGTTCCGATCCAATGCAATGCACGACCACAGGCTCATATACACGCGTCCAGCGCACTGCACCCACAAACAAACGAGGCATGCACAACACGAGTAACCCCCGCCTCACCCCCCAACCCTTCCCTCGCGGTGAATGATGTATCGTTAGTGTGTGGACGAGAACCCGTGGTGCTTCGCCATCAGCGAGTTCCGGTCCACCACGGCGGCGAAGGGAATGGCCATGATCCCCAAGCGGGGCCTTAACGTCATGAAATGCGAGACGGCGCGGCTGCTCAAGCTCACATCCAACTCGATCGAGCCGCTGAGCTTCGTCGTGCCGAGAAAGGTGCATGCCGAGAAGGACAAGCTGAGAGCGCGGAAGCGAAACCCCACCGCCGAACCCCCAATTTTTCCCGTGGTTTGGATTGGATTCTTGTTGGTAGAAGGATTTGGACATGTACATATGGTGCCGTCCTTTCTTGGGGCAAACGAGGGGGGTTGTCGGTGAGTTCATGCTCTGTTGAATGTACTTGGAAGTAGCTAATATAGGGTGTAGCATTTTCTCACCGACATGCATTCATGTAGTTGAGCAGTGGTACGTGATGTTTCAACGAATTGTGTACACGGAAACAAGAAACACGCTCTCCTCCCACAGGAAGTCTTTACAATACTTGATGTCTCGTCAAGTTCGACATGTCTGCCCCCCCCCGTCGTTGTTGACGCCGCGTGCCCCTATCTCCTACTTCTCGACTTGAACCCTCCTGCTCCCGCAATTGTCAACACCCCTACCGCGTCTTGACCACCCCCTCCCCCCTTTCCCGTTCCCGTCCCCATGCCCCCTAGTCGGATGCCTTCCAGGACGACTTGTTCCCGCCGTGCTTCTCCGGACAGGCCTCTCACACCGCGGAGGAGTGGGTCAAGGGATCGGAGAAGGCGCCCATGAAGATGGACATGAGGCCACGAAACCTGGGGGTCTCGCTGGATCCCGTGGCGGCGGCGGCGGCGGCGGCCAAGAAGAAGAAGGCTTTCGCCCCGCTCAAGAGCTCCAAGGACATGCAGAAGGACGTGAGTGAGCAAATATACAGCCCCCGGGGAAAGCGGGTTATCGTAGAATTGTATTTCCAGGAAATATACGTAAAAACTCACAGAAAGACCACCTGCTCGAGGTGCAATGCTACCACAGCAGTCCAATGGGATGTGCCGAATACAGATGGATACCATGCTTGTTTTACCGGAAGACGGAAGCTCCTCTTGTTTGTTTCTAGTTGCGTTTTTTGTTTGGTTGTGATGCTGTTGTGTGGTATTTTGCTCCCCGTGAAGGACATGTAAAAAACGTTTTTTGAGTTCAGAAAAGTACTATGCCAAGAGGTGAGATGGCACCCCGGCCCCTCCCCCTCCGTCGAGAAAGCGCCTTTTGAATGCAACACTGTAGTGTGACCTGACTGATTCTCGCTCAGAGGCGTGGTATCCAACGGTGTCTGACGTGATCATGTACATGAAGTAGATGGGAGGAACGGGAGACACGCTATTATAGCAGCGTCTGCTCTCCTCTCCTGTATATTTTTCTCATTGTCCTTCGATACCGTTGGTCTCGATGTTTCTTGACCTATTTGGTCTCGATGTATCTTGACCTATCGCGGAGGTAGGCTGGAGAGGCGAGACTGGGAGGTGGGAGGCTCGTGCACGGAGGCTACCCATCACGAACCGAATGCAAAATGCAATTGCTTTCCCATGAGGAACAGGGGGGGGGGGNCACAGACGTCGTGTAAGCCATCGTTACCCTCAGCCCACTCATTCCCTACTACATCGGTCGTCCTGTCGCCGCCCCCCCATCCCATCTTCAGCTCGACGCCGCAATGGCGCGCGTGGCTCTTTTGGAGAAGGTGATCAAAGACGCTGGTCTTCGTGTGCCCTAAGCGGGGCGGGAGCTCTGGTCTAGGTGCGGTTCGTCAAGAGTAGACGGAGGGCACGACGGATGAAGGTTTGGGGGAGGGGGGGGGGAGGATGGGCGTTGGGTCCGAGCGGGAAACTACGTACTCCCTTGGTTTTCGCTCGTACTTTAGGGGGGAGTTTGCCTGTGCGGGCAAGGGTTGGGCGAGCCAGCAGCTGACACGAGAGCGGACAGAGGCTAGTTTAGTGCGCTCTTGATGCGGCGTGGTGGCGTTCGGCGGCGAGGTGTAAGGCCCGAGGGAAGCGGGAAGCGAGGGTGTGTGTGGCGGGTGGTGGTGGTGCTGCCCCTTGGTGCTTGGTGTGTGGCCAATGAGAAGGGGTGAGAAGACTTTTTGCCCTCTTCATGATGTAATGCGGTGAGAGCTGGTTTAGGTTTATTGTAGTGTGACGGGTGCACGGGGTGGGGGGGGGGTTGGGGGGTGGATGTTCTGCCAATGAAAACGTGTGTGGTATGTCTTGTCGGTCACAACATAGGGCTCGTTCTATGGTACGGCTTTGTTTTTTTGCGGCGTGTGACGAGCCATACTCTTGGATGCTGATAAACCAGGCTAGAGACGACAAAGAGATCAGGTAAGAAATTTTAACTTGCGAAATGTGCGGATGGCAGCATTTGTCCCGTCTTCCCCCCATCCCACCCCCATCGGTGTTTTTTTTTTCCCTCGTGCTGGGGTTCCAAGTTCTGCATGCCTCGTTCGGTGCTCTTCACTAAGATAGGGGTTGCCACGTCCGTCTGGCTTGACCTGTTTCTCCTCTCGCTCATCGTTGAACGAAGTGAGTACGGGTACCGCGAGTGTGGTACGGTCGTGGGGGTGGGGCCTTTGCCGGCAGCATGTTCGAGCCCGAAACGATTGCGCTACGCTTACTCGTGGCTGTACGATCGGTTGTAGGCCTGCCTCCCTCTCTCTCTCTCTCTCTCTCTCTCTCTCTCTCTCCCTTTCCTGATCTTGGCTGTTTTGTGGAGGGTCGGGGCGGGTTGGAGAGAAGCCGCTGCTTACGCGTGTGTCGATGTATTTCTGCTGTTATCTTTTTACATCTCGCTTGTTGCGGCTCGTTGGGCGTTTTTTTTTAAGGGGAGGAGGGGGGGGGGGGGGGCAGTAGGGGGCCGGCCTGGGCGGGGTAGCCTCCAAGCCAGAAGAGTACCGAGCGAGCCCCATCATCACCCCCAAGAGACTTGGAAGAGAACAAAATCGAGAGGGAGGGGCCAAAGGTCGCGTGGCAACCTGCCATGGATGGTATGAAAACGGCATCGACCGTCGCCGATGGCTTCGTGTATCGGCGTCCGTGTCACAACGCTTGGTGCCGAATATTTTGTGGTTTTCTAGTGGAAGGGATCCAGGTGGCGGGGAGGGGAGGGGGGGTTCACACGAGAAGACCCCCCACGTTCTATGAGAGAGACATCTTTTAGCCTGCAAGAAGAAGGTAGCGTCATTGAGCCTTCGTGTACGAGATAGAAGTTTTGTTTGTTTTTTTGTCTGCTCCTTCGGGATTGGTTTTTAGAGTCCGACCCCGTGTGGGCGGCGGCCGTCCTTTTTTTCCTCGTGGCATTATGGGGGCGCGAGGCGTTGGGGGGGGGGAGTGTAATATATTCAGAGGTTTTGGCTTCAACAGCTCGCGTTGTTCGTGCTTGGGTGTCCCTTCACTTGCAATCGCACACACCACGTAGCAGGCGGCAGCAATGACGCAACGTGATGCAGACACTAATGTGTTACTACTGAGGATGTTTCCTGCTGTGTCGCAGGAGCGCTTTTGTTTTCCCCGCCGCCGCGCCCGAATCTGGCGATGGTGACGTCTGCCTGCAAACGGCGGTGACGACGTCGGCGTTCCTCCTGCCATATCGGCGAGCCCACGGGAGTGCGGTGCAACATCATTCTGGATCGGGGCCTTCCTCGCTGTGCGCACTCTTTTTTATTTTGCTCTGTGGCTCGAAAGCGTCGTCGACTTTGACTGCCGAAAGACAACAACGCCTCAGAAAAGCACACCACACAAGATCGTAAAAAGGGGCGGGGGGGGGGG